ACGCTTCACATCAGGGCATGGTTGTAGCTCTCTCCTGCCACCTGGAAATGAGGAAGATACGGCAACCTTCAAGCTAGGGGATATCCTTCAACCTCCATTAAGTCCCACCCCTGGGAAGCAAATAAGGCTGCCATGCTTACTCCCAGAAATGGATCTCTCCGGTTACCATGGTGCCTCATGATGGAGTTGTAGCAGGTAAGCAACATACGCAATCAACGGTAACAACCAGATGCAACACTAGAGGGTGGTGATAACCCCCTCTCCCAGACAGAATGCCCAATTATCCCCTTGCATAAAAGTACTGCACTCCCCAGCAGCAAACAACTGAAAGGTGGCTGGTCTCAGGCCAACCATTCTTGCTCTGCCTGAACTATCTTACAGATTTACTATGATAATAAAATGAAGAGAAAAAGATCTGCATGTGGTGCCTTGAGCTGTCTAGAAGAACAGCAAGCTGCAAATGAAGCTAATAAATGAATGAATGAATAAATAACCTAGATCCATATCAATGAAGACTGGTATGTTACTAATAGTGGACTTGGGAAAGTCAAGGCCAATAATGATGCCAAGGCATGCTGCAAGTCTGTCTCCAACCAGCGTCGCCAATGACCCAACAGGATACAGTATGTTATTAACAAGCAAAAAAGGCCACACTACCTATCAGCATAGTCCGGACAGTAAATATAGCTTTATTTTGCAAGTCTGTTGGTTAAGACATATGTACCTAAGAAAATCCTGCTGTGGAAATGAAAACAGATTGATACATATTAGAATATGTTATCCCTTTCACATATATCTTGTAACATTTTCCTCTGAATGTGTCAGGCATCAGAACACAGAGTGACTGACAAATCAATACAGTGGTGCCTCGCTTTACGACTGCCCCACATTACGATGAATCCGCTTTACAACGATCTTTTTGCGATCGCAAAACGATGGTCTAAATGGGGGAATTTCGCTTTGCAATGATCGGTTCCCTGCTTCAGGAACTGATTCTTCGCAAAATGATGTTTTTCTAACAGCTGATTGGCAGTTTCAAAATGGCCACCGGGTAATTAAAATGGCTCCCCGCTGTGTTTAGCGACAGATTCCTCGCTATACAGGCAGCGAAAATAGCCGTCATATGGAGGATCTTCACTGGATGGTGCGCTTTTACCCCACTGGAACGCATTAAATGGTTTTCAATGCGTTTCAATGGGGCTTTTTATTTTGCTTTACGATGTTTTCGCTTAACAGCGATTTTCCTGGAATGGATTATCGTCGTTAAGCAAGGCACCACTGTATAAAGAAAAAGGCAACAGGTGAGATCCATTCCTCTCACACCTCATTCCTTACCTCCCTTGCCATCCTCAGCTTCTTTCTACCTGGCTAAACCTCACTGATCCAGTAAGACGTGATCCTTAAACCTGAAAAGAATCTGCAGAAAATATACTGAGGGTGCAGACTGTGTATCAACACTGCTTTTCTTCCCTTTCAAAATCATGGGAAAGATGGTGCAGGCTTCAAACGCTCCAACCTGGCAAATTAGTGTTTGTGTGAATGGCAAATATAAACCTATGGAACACCTTAGGGTAGACTCAAGACATCTTATTGCCTAAGACTAATGTCAAGGTAGTGCTACCTTTCTATTCCATGTACAGATGCCAACTGGACTGGCTGCTGTGTCTTCCTTTAAAACCATGACAAGATAGTGTTGCCCACTATTTATAGGGCAACAGGCTTGTTTTCAGAGCCCAGGACAGGCAAGATTCGAACAGAGGACAGCCAAGGAATGCAGCTTCTCCCACCATACCCAGCATTTCCTGACTGGTGATACTTATAGCCCAGAGTGTGTTCCACTATAATATGTCTAGAATTGTAGACCTGGATGTTGCATTGTGTAAGCAAATGCAAGATTCGGAAGCTGCATTCATGCTCCTGGTGACACATGAGTAGGTCAGAAGTGGAAGTAAAAACAGCTGTATTTCCAATATTCACATATAACTACTCTTCCTTTGTAAAAAAAATTTCATTAGGTCTACAGTGTGAGAACAGAACCTAAAATGTGAAACTTAAGAGCTTGCATCAGAAAGGAAGAAAAAAAAGAGTACTTGCAATGCATATAATGTATATACAGCCATTTCCTTTACTCAATAACACTGTCATTGCCAAAAGAACACAGACCACCCCACTGATTAAGGTGGCAAATTGGGAGCTGAAACACCTCCAGCAAGCTGAAAACATCCAGGAAGGATGAACTCGTCCTCCCTAAAGAAACTGGCTTCACTGGTGAACTTCTGGCACTGAACGCAGGATGCATTTGCAAGGGGTAGAAATCAGAGAGCAAAAAATCCCCATTCTAGGCAATAAACAGCTCTTGAACTAAGCCCTGTAACTTCCTATAAGGTGCTTTTGTCCCATTTTGGAGCACAGATGGAAATAAGAACGGCACAGGTTTGTTATATTCCCCCAATAAGCTCAAAGCTGCATATATTTCCTCCCCACAGTAACCTCACAACAGCCCTATGACGTAGGTCAGGCTGAGAAACAGTAGCTCACCCAACTCTTGAGTTTCATGATTCAACAGGAACCTGGAACTGAATCTCCCATGTCCAAGAAACTGCTTCTTTCAGATATGCAACTAATCCTAAGGCCTCACTCATACGAAATTTTTCTACTTCCCCCCCCCATTGATCCTGAGGCTTTCAACTCTGAAAATGAGCTACGTAATCCCTGTTGGCCTTGGCACCTATCAAGCTGCCAGCCTCCAGGTTAAACAGCATCCACTGAAATATACTAACAAGCATTATTTTGTACCCCTTTGCCCAACTGTGCGGTCAGAACCAAGAAACGTTGCTTTTCTTCCTCTCCAATGCTGCAGCATCTTCTTATAGAGCTATCACTGCACAAGCAGAATGTTTATATCCAGATAATAACTGATAATATTCTAAGAGGAGCCTTATGCATAAATCACATGTACTTCCTTGGAATCTAGAAGCAAACCCACAACCTCATCAATAATGTAACCCCCCCCAACCCTATAAAGACTTTCATGCATGTTTAATTTGGTGCACTGTGAGTAATCCCTCCTTGACTTCAATTCGAAATGACACTGGCTCCAATTCTACACACATTTGTGTGCATCTAGTTGTACAAATTTTTCCGTATTTGCAAATGAATATATAGAAAAAATCAGTTATATAATATCCCACGTAAAGGTAGTCTAATGCAGTGTTACCAAAAAAAAACCAAGCAAGCATCTGTATTTCATGCCTCTGTTGTTATTTTTAAACTTTACTAACAACTAGTCCTCATGCACAACTTCTCCCCTTCACTTATGTTTTTTCTAAAAAGCACCTCCGATATCTCCAATCAATTGTCACCAAGATTTATGAATATTTGTCCTAGGACAATCAGATTTTCCCTGCCTCCAACAGAAGAACCTTTCAGCTCACAGGAGAAGGGTACAGGAAACCATACGAGGATGCTGCCTATTATTAGGACAGCGCCTCAGTAGGAACAGACTTTGAATTAAGCTCTAGTATTAAAGAATGTGAAAAATGATTAAGCGTTGCAAAACTTCAATGTACATAATCAGCTATATTATTAACAAGCATACAAAAGGAACTGGTCAGGTGGAATGCCACTTAATAGCTTTCCTCCAAAATATGTGCACAATATTCCCTAATATAATTATAGAGAATATCCTAGATAATAAATGTGAGGCTCATTTGCATTTTAAAGGGGGTGTTGAAGACACTATGATTTACCCTACTTACAAGATGATCAGAAGCCTCTTTATCAGTAACCATGAAGTGCCATCTCACTAACTTTCTTTTCCCATACAATTTTTAAATCACACTCCTTTTACTAGATTTAAGTTTGTGTTAAGACTCGACAATACAGTGAGTCCGTGCACCAGGCAGGGCAGGCTCTCTGACATAGACTCTGAATCTATTCTGCTTCCTGAGCTTCCCACTGATGGAAGAATAAAGAGCTTGCTCCATCTTCCATCCTCTCTTTCATTCTTCTAGTGCGGAGAAGTTCTTTCGAAAGCCTTTTAACTAACAGAGTTCGCAAAAGTGAAAGGCTGCTACCGCTCACTTTTTCTCAGAGCCTTTTCCCTGTCCTTTCCCATTCCGGCCGAAACTAACTATAGAAGCGCAAGGGTCCAGACGCAGTCCCAAAAATCCAGCAAACGAGCGCAGCCTTGCCTGCATTATTTCAAAGGCGACAATCAAATCAGAATAATCCTACCTGGTTTACGCTAGTCTGTCCTAAAGCAGCGGCGGCAGCAGCAACAGCAGCAGCTTGCCTCCGCGGTTCATGCGCAGCAATGTAGACTCGTCTTCCCAAGCAGAGACGCCTCGTTTGGTACCCAGCAATAAACCTCTCCTGGATCACCACCATTAGGAGGGCAACGGGGGAGGGAATCAATCACAGAAGAAAACTGATCTTTCATTTCATTTTCATTTCATTTCAAGGGATGGGAAGCGCCGTCTCTTTTTCGTCCCTTCACCTCTCAAAACAGCAAAACCAAGTATACCCAACCCTGCCTTGGAGAGAGCAGGTGAAGGGAATACAGGTTCTAGGTAACCACAGCAGCACTTTGAAGGTTCCCTCGCCCCCCCCCATGGCTTTCTTTCTCTCCCCAAACCGCACCCGCACCCAACGTCGGAGCCAAGGTAGCTCCCCCGTCACACACGCCCGGACAACAACCCTACAACAGCCACGGGAGAGACCTTGCTTCGGATCTAGCGGCCCCTTTCCTCCCTCCCGCGCCCGCCGCCCTCCACTTGTTTTCCCGGCGAAACTACAAGAGGAAGAAAACTTGAAAGGGGCCCGAGCAGCAGGGAGGGTGGCGGCGGGGGGAGACGGCGACTTTCCCCGCAGACGATCCCGGCGGCAACGGCAACGGAGCCCCGTGCGTCTTTCGCCCCAAGCGCCTTCGCCTCCCTCGCCCACAAAACTCCCCCCAAAGGAAGAGCCCCGGCGGGGTTGGCGCGCGCCCTGTTTTTTACCTGGTGTCCTCCCCGCGCGAAGGCAAGGCGGAGGCGGCTCAAAAGCGCAGGGGGGGTCGGTGGAGGTTGGTTATGGATTGTTGCTGCTGCTGTTGTTGTTGTTGTTCGCCCCCTTCCCGGTCTGAGGCACGCAACGGCTCTGCTATTTATAGTCCGCAATTGGTAGCAACCTCTGGCCGAGCCGGCGCGGAGAACTGGCAGGAGGAGAAGAAGCCAGAGGAGCAACGGCGACGCGGAGAAGCACTCCCGTTTGCCCGCCTGACAGTCGAGCGACCGCCTCCAGCCCCTGCGCGCCACAGAGCCTCGAAAACGCGGCGCCCCGCCGGCTGCTGCGCTGCAGCTGCTCGCGCAAACCACGGGGGCCGCGAAGCGAGGCACGCGGAGGCGGCGGTCCTTCCCTCAGCGCCTCCTCCGCCTCCTTCCAGCCGTGTCTCCGCCTTCCTTTCCTTCTCCTTCCTCCAATGTCACCGCAGCCCGCCGGAGGCTCCCGAGCTCGGCGGCAGCAGGAGGAGGAGGGCCAGCCCCGGAGCGACGGCCACTAGTGCCCGAGGGCGCACGCGCTTGGGCAAGCAAGCGGAACGCCCGGCGCGCCCCGTTGCGCTCGGAGGTGATCCGCAGCCGTGGCAAGAACGAAGAGGAGACCGAGGCGGAGAGAGGCAGGAAGCAGGCGGCGCTTGCGGTTCGCCTCCCGACGCCCAGAGGGAGCTCGGTTCCCGCTATAAGCTCTCCAAGCCAGGCTGAGGGCGCGAAAGAGAGAGAGAGAGACACCGCTCGCCCCCGCCATTGACTGAGTGGGCTTTGGGGTGCTTTCCACTGGTGACCCCCTTCCCCAATAAGGAACAGAAGGGAAAAATTAGAACGCGAATGTAAAAGGGCAATTATTATTTGTTTTACAGTGAGCTGGCATATAGCCAAGTACCAAGAGCCTTGCCAGAAAGAAATATCGACGACCTTACCCCACAGGTCTCTTGTAGAGGATCAGCAAGATCAAGATTGCTTGAAAACCCCACCATTTATTGTATAAATCACAACTATTAATTTAATTTGTCTCCACATTCTTTTACGGGCGTGTTAAGTGCTGCTGAGTTGCACCCGACTTTCAGCGACTCTGGGTTTTCAAGATATGTGAGATATTTAAGGAGTGGTTTTATCACTGCCTCACATGTGAGTTTCCAGCAGGGATTTGAACCAAAATCACCTAGTCCTTCACTCTAAAATTATTTAATATATTTCTATTACGCCTCTTCCCCTTACTTCTAAACTAGCATCTATCTACCTAAGATTTATGCCCCACCTCTCAGTCAAATGACTCCCAAGGTGACTCAACAGGTACTGAGTAATAATAATACAAGACCACCACCATACACTGTGCAACCTGCAGAGACCCACGAAAGAGGTGACTGTCATTGGAATTTGATTTTGAGAATTTGATTTAACATTAGCAAACAAAGAATAACTATGGGGGTGGGGTGGGGACAGTTCCACAACAAGTTAAGGGGACAGGGAAAAAAATAGGATTCGAGAAAGCTGCCTCATACTGTGTCAGGTCATTGTTTTATATAGCCAAGTGTTTTTGATACCAACTGACAGCAGCTGTCTAGAGTTCCTGATCAGAGGCTTTTCTGACTCTACCTGAACAGGTCAGAGATAGAACCTGTACCCTCCATACCAAGTATGAATATTATGTCACTGCTCCTTCTCCATGTTCTGTGAAAGAGGTAAAACAATGACAAAGTCTGGAGCTGGGGAACTGAACCATTAGAGATAGATCTGAGTAAGAGCCGTCATCTGCTAACTCGATTCTTATTTCACACTGAAATGTTTTTTTAATGCCCCAAGAAATGAAAATGAAAAATGTTTGTAAAAAAAAAATCTGTAGAGAAATCTAAGATACAGTATAAAGTAGCTGGTAATCCCTCAAGATTTGAGGAGGCATAGCTACCTCAACCCTACTTTATGGGCTAGCACTCTAAAATTGAGGGTAGTAATATATCTGTCCCACCAATCAAAGAATCATTTTGCCTAAAAGGAGTATCTCTGCTGCTTTGGGTTCTTTTTTTAAAGTCCAGGTGAAGTGCAGCATCCAAGCAAAGAGCTCAGCCTACAAAGATGAAACTCACAAGGGAGCTCAGACTGACTGGTCTGCAGACAGCCTAAGGAAGCTATGTGTCGGCATCTCCTCAGAAGCCTTCTGAAGTTTCAAGACAGTTTTCTTTTCAGCTCTATTAATTAATCTCTTTACCTGAAGAGTGTCAGTATTTGGCCAGTAAAATATCTGCTTATAGGGCTGGCCCACAACATTTTCCTGCTAGAGGTGGAGTAGCAAATGGTGTCTCGCTCACCCAGCTCAAGTATCTATCAGCTAAAAATGAGATAAAGGAATTTCTTTTTTAAAATGATTCTTTCATGACACCTAGCATCTGCTGCATGAGGCAGTCACTTTACTGTGCCTATTGATGGGACCAGTCATGTCCGTCTCACAGGAAAGCTTCCTTGAAATAAGCTTTTGCAACAAATGTGCAAGGACTCTAAATATGTTGCATTATAAACCAATGCCTTAGAAACGAAAAGGCCACAAACACATGCTCAGTGCCTATAAATCCCCACCCAGGGACTGACTAATGTTTCCAACATTTATTGATCTTGTAGGAGGTGGTGCCAGTTTAGAATTTCCAGAAGAGATAAATTCCAGGCAGAATTATTACAGAGCATGTGGTAGATGTATTTTCTCCTATGGCATCCTACATTACTTAAGGAGCATCACGCATGTGGTAGATGTATTTTCTCCTATGGCGTTCTACATTACTTAAGGATAGGTTCACAGGAGCATCATGCAATGCATCCTGAATGGCTTTTGCAGATGCATCCCCAGAGCAAACCATAGTGTTGCCGCTGATGAAAGCTACAGCATTCTAGCACTTATTACCACCATTGTGATAGCCAGTAAAAAAAAAAATTCAGCAGGAACCATTGAGACACATCCTGCAGTGATCTCATGGAATATGAAAAGCTACCTTTGGTCTTCTGCATTAAGGAACAATTCTGATGTTTAATGAAGTTGAATTGTTCGCGGATGAGACTTTTTTTCTTAGAGTAAATTATTTTTACTTCTAAAGATACTGGGATTCCTGTGTACATTGTACCCCACTGTATGCCATATACCATATAACAACTATGAAGTATGTATTACCTAGTTATTGTTGGACTATACCTCACAGCATAGCCAGTGATGGGACATACCTAGTTATTGTTGGACTATACCTCACATTAGCCCTAGACAGCATAGCCAGTGATGGGGCGTGATAGAGTAGTAATCCAACGACTTCTGAAACATCCCTGACTTAAAACTGTGACCTGTCAATGTTTTCTCCTTAATTCTGACATAAGTAACTACCTGCCAGCAATACTCAACTGCTATATAAATGGGATAAATAGTCTCTATGGATCTTTGCCATGTGCTGCTGAGAAGTGTTTATCTCTCTGAGGGCAGACCCAGTCTCATTTATTCTGTTCTTTCTGCACTACAGAAAAGAAAAGGAGCAGGAGTGAAGTTTGCTAGTCCAAAGCTGGAATCTTCACAGAAGATGGGAGTTTTTTGAAGTGCTAAAAAAGAGATATGAGTGACATTGAGGTACCAGAGCCAGTCCTTTCATTAGGCAACTAGCTGCGGACGCCAAGTACCACAAAAGGCAGAAGATAATAATTATTTAATTCGTTAATAATTTTACTGCCAGGTATGCATGGGTGTGTGTGCATTTGTGGAGGTTTATACTTCATGTTCCAAAATAATGTACCTGGCTTTAAATTCTTTGACATAGGTGCCTGCAATGGGGTGCAATTCATTGCTCTGCCTCAGGCAGAGAAATCTCTCTGGTTGACCTTGGTTGTAGAGTGCCAGCATGTAATTCTGTGACATCGGGGTCTGTTCAGTTTTAAGATGTTGGTATGCTATATGTATAGCTGGAAGCCTGGGCCATTCTTTTTTCTGAAACATCTTTTTAACAACTGGAACAACAACACTTTAATGAAATTGCTGCTTCCAGCATCCTGGGCTAGGTTTCAAGTATCTGATATTGACAGTTGGAGGAAGTTATTAGAATGGATAATTAAACTGGCTGCTTATCTGTCTTCTGCAGTTGACAGCAGTTAATATATAAACCAAACGAATGGCCATCATTATGATGGGCAAAGGTTAAAGGGAAATATTGCAGTTTCAGGGACACAGTACACACATACATTGTCCAACAGAGCTCCTGTTGTCTCAGGTCAAGCATAAGAAGTAGGATCCAAATAGATGTTAAGAAAAATGTGCATTTCCTACTGTTAAACTATTTTTCTTCCCTCCAAGGGGGTTTCCTGAGAGAGACGTACCTCAGAAATCAGACAAATTTAATCCAGCCCTTGTTTAAATTACAATGACCAATGAGAAAACAAAACATGCTAAATGTAAGATATGGGAGTGAGGAAAATTATGTGCTGTGACTAACAAACATCATTTGTGACTTGGGAAGCACCTTGGGGGGGGGGCAAGCATGATAAATGATTATGTTGGCTGTGTCCATCTTGCCTATTTAGTTTTCCCAACTTTTTTTCTGTCCTTATTCTTTCGTCTGTAGCACAGAGGTGGATAAAATGAGCATCTAGGGCTGCACGCATCTTTGGAATGTTTGGAGGGTCCTCAGTTTTCCTCCAGGCCCCTCTTTTCCAGAAAGCAATCATAAGTTTCTGCCCTTAGAAATCTCTTGGAGAAGTAATTCACCATTTAAAGAAGTTTACCAGGCCATCCTGCACTATTAATGTAAAAAACAGACTTTTTTTTCAAAATTGAAGGTGAACTTCCAATAATTTATAATTTTGTTTTTCCCTCTGGGTTTGTTTGTTTGTTTTGGTTTCGTTAGTTTGTGTTTGCATTTTCCGTGGTCTGTTTCACTCCAAGAAGGTCCTGAGGTCAGAGAACTGGACTCCAGACCTGATAATAATGTGTTCCCTTGCAGTTTAGCAACACTGTAGAATCCAGATGATTTTTTTTTTCGTTTTATATTTTATTTTATTTTTTTGCAGTCTGCTAAAGTGAGTAGAACAGTTGACAAAGCTATACAAGCTAGGGCCCATTGACTTCATCTTGGGGAAAGTAAATCTATTGTAAATGAAGCCGTAATTAAGGAAGATTGTCTTCCTTTCCCATGCTCTGGACAAATGATGTCTGGAATTGAGAAGTTTTGTTTCTGCCTGTGTGCATCCAATATTGCAATTTTTTTTTTGAAAAAAGTTATCCCCAGTAGGAAACATTAAGAAGCAAATCCACTCACAGCAGTCTAGCTGCTCCACTCATTATATATGGTGACACTTTTGAGTCCCTGTTTTACAATGCAGTCCTACAGCACATGCCTACTCAGAAGTAGATACAATGAAGAGTAAACATCACTGAATTCAGGAAGTCTTACACATAAATAGTAAGGCAGTGCACTGGAAGTCATTGCTAAAAAGTGACAAAAAGAAAACACTGTGATATTGTTAATGAGGTCTTTAAAATAACTGCAGGCTAGGATAGTTCAGTGAGTTAGGCATCTGGCTGCAGAGCCAAAGACTGGGAGTTCAATTCCCCAGTGTGCCTCCAAGAAGAAGAGTCAGCCTATGTAGCCTTAGGCAAGTTGTACAGTCCCACGATGTCCCAAGAAGAAACAAATGATAAACCACTTCAGAGTACTCTGCACAGTCCCATGATGTCCCAAGAAGAAATGAATGATAAACCACTTCAGAGTACTCTCTATCCAAAAAGGCCTGGAAAGGATCACCATAAGTCAGAATTGATTTGATGGCATATCATCATCAGAATATCTACATTTAGCATTTTCAGGACTGGATCCCTATAAAGGATCCCTATAAATCTTGCCTTATTTATAAAGTTGCCTTAAAAAGGATCTAAAAAGGCAAAACAAAGACTTTTACATGGACAGCATAAGCACTAATATTTGCTTATTTTTACTTTCTGTTGAAAAAAACCATGTGAGACTCAAAAGAAATGAGAAAAATTGATTATTTCCCATAGTGGATAACTTGTAGTTGTGACAATGTTATCCTGTTGACATTTAGAAAAATATAGTTTGTTGTGTTGTTATTGTTTCCCCTCAACTTTTCTGGGTTTGTATGCATGCACTGTATGGATAATTCTATATTATAGTTAAATATTTAGGGATTTGCTTTCTTGGATGACAGCATTTCCTGTTGCCCAAGAAAGCAGGTCTTAAGATAATTTCCAAAAAGTGTTTCTAACTTCTCAGTTAATGTCACACTACTGTTTCCTAATACATTCCTAATAGCACTGAACTGACAAGACATAGTGAGCATTTAAATTACTGCTAGTGCTAAATTAGGAGGGGAAAAACGCAATTTACAAATTGCATTGCAGTTGTAGTCCTTATCAGTGGAAGCATAAGGAAGGCACATGGTTCGCTCCCACTACATCCTACTTTGTGCAGCATTAGTGATGTCATCTGGACATGCCCCTCAACAGCCCTAAAGGAAAAATATAGGCAATCATACAAGCCGAAAGCAAGACATAACTTGTGAGTGGGAAAACTGGTGTGGGGGGGCTGCTAGCTGAACATCCTATCCTGCATACTCATGCCAAAAGCAAAGCAAAGTGTGCTGCTTATATACAACCCCATAGTTCTTTATGCTCTCTCTGGGCAGTTTACAATTTAATTATGCAGATTACATATTGCAAACCACCACCAACCCATTAGCTGAGTTTACAATTTAATTATGCAGATTACATATTGGAAACCACCACCAACCCATTAGTTGAGTTCTCAGTATACTGACCTTGGAAGGATGGAAGTTTGAGTCAACCTTGAGCTAGCCACCTAAGCCTGGTATAAAACTTAGGCCATGAGCAGAGTCTTCACTGCAGTGCTACAGTTCAACGACTGTGCCATGAGACTCGTAAAAGGCCAGATCTACTGTTAATTAGGACTAATTTGTAACAATGTCGGTACATTGACTGCTGTGTGCAGCAGCAGCAAGAGTGCTTCTCATCTCATTAAAATTGGTGGCAGCCGTGGTGAATTCCACAATACCATTGGCTGAATTTCAACAGCAATGTCTAGCAGCAATACCCTAAAGTATGACACCAGCCAATGTGGTAAGCTATTTTTATTTAATGTCTTATCAGGTACCTCCAGGTACATTTGGGGGCTTCCAAAGTGATCTTGAAGCTGCTGGCCTGTTCTCTCCATCACATACCTGCTTCTGAGTGTCCTTGCTGTGCATCCATGACATTGACTGTGATATTGCAATAATCCAGTAACTGAAGGACTATGGCACCTCTTTCCACTCACACTTTCAAGTGTAGAGGAGTAACCACCAGTCGCAGAGTTTGGAGACTTTTTGTTTTTTTAGGGGGATTGTAGTTCTCAAAATCCTCTGCCAGCAGAGCCACTTTGCCATGCTGGCTGGAGGATTTGAGAAGCGACACTTTGAAAAAAAACACAATGTCCAGGCTTTGCTGGCTAACGCAAAGTAGAAAGCAATGGGGAAGCTAATTATTATAACAGCACTGCCAGCCATGAGACCCAAGTGTAGGGAGCACTGAAGTGGTTCAGGGTAGCATTCAGTGTTGTTTCTCCTTGCCCCCTCCCAACAACCAAACTTGAAGGCAGGTTTCAAGCAAACCCATACTAGCTCAACAGAACCTCAGAGCTGTAATCTAAGAAGTAGTGGAATATTTCAACTTGTAGCAATAATAATTTTTTAGATTACATTACAAAACTGCAATCATCTTTTTCAGAACCAGCTATCTGTTGCGGTTATTTTTTTTCTCTCCTCCTGCTTCCCAAACCAATGCACTGCCTTGATTAGACCCACTCAAAAATTCAGTTTCTCTCTCTCTCTTTTTTTTTTCTTTTTACTTCCCTCCTCAGCAAACTGTTCCTTCTGTCTTTCCTTACCCAGCATTTCTGGAGGCCAGTAAAACCTAAAACAAACCCCTAAGGACTCACTCCCCACTCATGCAATTAATCCCTCTGAACTCCACTGGAATGCTTAAGTGGCAGTTCATGGGATCTGGCCCTGAACTTCTTTTGCAGTACAGAAGAACTGTTTAAAAAGGAGCACCAAGATTATAATATTTTCTGGGTATCTCAAGTGATAAAAAATGTTAGGTGTCAGCACACAGAGACCTTGTATCCTAGAGAGAAATCACACATGACAATTATCTGTCAGCTCTACATAACATGTGCTCCCTCTAAGTAAGATGGAAGCATATTTATTTACATTCAAGAGACCATCGCTGGATGAATATAGTACTATTTAAACCTGCAGTAAAAGGTTCCTGAAGAACAAATTAAATTGAAGTTAATTCTTAATAAAGACCAGTTATTCAGAACTGATTGTTTTAATACTGATTAGACCAATGAAGCCGTGCCATTATTTTTACGAAGAATAATTTTGGTGTTCATTTGTTTAATAATGAGAGCCTTTATGCTACTGTATTTGTAATTCCTTATATAATGCAATGTTTCTAATTACTGCTTTATTAGTAGTAGATTACACCAAAGGAAATTACAGAAGCAAAAAGTGTATGAGCTTAGAAAGGGCAAATGGCAAATATCTTCATAGTACAGTATATAT